GGCTTTGGTTCAGACGGTTACAATATCGCTCTAGCTTAGTATCGATACGAATACCAGACAAGTGTCAAACCGTAGACAAGCACCGTCGAGATCGACGAGACCGATGAAGCACAACGTACGCGGCAAAACCTAAGAGGTAGCACAAATTGCCGTCGGCAGACAGTGAGGGAGGGAGAGACGGTCTGCTCGACCACGACGAGTTCATCGTGGCGTTTATATTTGTCGATCAAATCGGGTGAGCTTCAGTACTGTTCATTTGTAAAGCCCAACCGATGTTGGAGATTCTCCAGGTAGCATCCATGTCTCCTATCGCTACCACCGGCTAGAACATCATGACCAAGGCGGCTGCTGAGCTTATTCTCCGTTCAGAGCCTGTACGTCGTTATGTTCGCATGAGAAGAATTAAAATTTCAAGGACTGTGCCGTAAACGAGCAAGGCTGCAAAATCAGCCACCACACCCCCCCAAGTGATGGTCTGACGAAGTGTACCTATCGGTGTCACCGATTGTGATCTGGTGGTACTGAGCACAGAAATTCAGCGAGGGGAACGCAAGTCCCTAGGCATGGAGATTTGGGCTGCACAAGCACCTGTCGAGCTTGGACTATACGCTATCGGGTATTTGGATCTTCGGCAGGGTGTGGCTACCTACGTATAGCGCATTGGATAATTCCATGCTCAGGTTGGATATCCCCGAATGTACACAATACTCGCCTAGGCCGAAGAGAGGAACCATCTTATTAGTAGTAACTTATGAGGCCCGAGCCACAGTTGCAGTAGGTCTACGTGGCTAATATCTGCGAGAGCGCTAGGACCATTTGTTATCATGATCATTAATATCAATTTGGCTCCCTAGTATCTCATCTCATGCGCCCCAACAATCCTAATCTCGGGGTGATAAGTGACTAAAAAATGGCCTGCGCATTGGGCGGAGAAGACACACCACCGGGCATGTTAAGTGGCATCGAGGCGAAGAAGAAAGTCCACCTGTCAAGCTGCTTGCATGCCTCGGCAAGCTTTTCCAAATCGAACATCTCACCTGGTTCCCGGAAAGGTCAGCTCGTATGGGGTTTTCAGTGCAGAAACACCAATAAGGGCCGCGGCTAAGGACGTACCAATTGGCATGCCCCAAGAAGCGAGGAAGTAGTCGTGGAGGCTGATGTCTCCGAGCGGCGGGAAGACCTCAAAAGAGACGGCGTCGCCAGCGACTGCAGCTATTCCGGTGTCCCAGACCCACCGCAGGACGTCCGTGGTGGCCTCAAGACCAGCATGATGCGGTGACTCCAGGGCCTGGTAAGCCTTCCTGGCTTTTTCGTCCATCTTCTCCCACTCGCGGATCATTCCGCTTCGTACTAGCAAGATGTCCCCCTTCTTGAACGTGACATTGGATTCCGCGGCGATGGCGACGATGTCCTGAAGCTTGATAGTGTGGAGGGAAAAGGCAGAGTAACTGATGGCCTGTTTGTCTGCCCACGACGCATAGTCGATGAGTACGGCGCGGCCGGTGATACCCTCCTGGGCCCAGTGATGGATGCCAATACGGTCACTGGTGCGATCCAGGATCTCGGCCTTGGTCGTGCCGCCGTACCATTCTCGCCTCGTGGGCTCTTGATCTGACAACATTCCCCAATGACGAAGACCGTCCCACTGGCTGCTCTGCTCTAATGGGACCGGTGTTAATGAAAAACTCGGTCAGATTCGATGACTTACTCACGAGGGTTGATGGTGTACACATCATCGAAGGCGTCACCATCCAAGATGGGCACCACCTGATGGCCGCAGGAGATTCGACCGTAGCCTGGATACTCAAGCTTCCTCAGATCCCAATTGAGGCCAACACGTTGTCCAGTCACAATCTCCTTGGCAGCGTCGCGGGTGCGCTCGCTTGTCAGCAAGACGAGTCGACCAAGGCCTTCCTCTCGGCTGCCTGGGGTGCCAGCCCACACTCGCTTGGGATCAGGGAGCTCGTCGAACTTGAGCTCGGCGGAATATTGACGGCGTGCGTTCATATTGTGCTTCACTATAGTCTTGCTTCTTGCGAAGAGTATGCGTGCTGGTTCTAAAGAGCTAAATGTCCCTGGTCAGTCCAGTAACACGGAGAGAAGTGCCCGATTGTTAGAAAATACTGCGATGAAATATTTCCCGGCCGAGTCTTGGTGGCCGCTGACAAGAAGCAACAACATGCAAAGATGAAATCAATCGAGCAACTGGATCACAACAACCTCACCGACGGCGAGCGGATTTCCACCTAGGACACTACAAATGAGCCGAGACTCCAGGCCGAAAAAAAAGGCGACCTGCTTCGTCTCTCGTCATACGAGCACTCGTGTAAGGGACACAATCATGTCGCTACGCGATACGCGTTAAGACGACAGACACCGGACTTCAAGTGGGAGAGAAGAGGGGAACCAATACATTTCTTTTTTAAAATTACAGCGTTAAGAGACAACGAGACTATGCATGCTATCATACACGAGGAGGCGTATGATTATGAAGGAAGAATTGGCGTTTGAAGATCGGTCGGTCGATAGGTAGCATGCTAGTTCATGGTCTCTTTGCCAATGCATTGGTTCTATAAGCCCTACGTCTTTCCCTTATGAGAGAGATTGACTTCCTTCCTATCGTCTGCTTTCATTTACGGTTTACTGACAAAATTCGGTAATTCTCCCCCTTATCGACAGGCTCTTGCAGCAGTCCTGTCTCAGTAGTAAAGGGCGCGGACGCCTGTACTCGTGTTTGACCACAAACCTGGGTCACTAATTGCAGAGCACTGAGACATTCAAATGGCACGAGAAAGCGCTGGCCTGAATCTGGAATACAATGTGGATATAGGGGACACAATGATATTGCAGGTGATCGAGAGAAGCAGTTACATGATTTGTACACTCAACGCAGTATTGGCCAAACATACATATATCTACCCCTTCTCAGTCGAGGTGTTGGCTTTTTTCACGGCCCAAATATGAAATCAGCACCCTCAACCTCCACCGACAAATTTCGTCTGCCATATACTGTCCAAAAAAGAATACTCCTATCAAATCCCTTATACAATGTCATTATCCAGCGGGAGTAGTGGCACCAACGGGTCTATCAAGATCACTGCTATTGTGCAACAACTGCGAAAGTTTAACAGCAAGTGGCTCCGACTCTGCTGGCATGACTATACGTCGACCGCAAGATGCCGCCTGGTCCCCATGAAGCGGGTGCTGGCCTTATTGGAGTGTGGTGAGCCCTTGAGTTTACCGATCACCAAGGCTAGCCTTGGAATGCTCCAAACGGACGCCTTGATTCCGGAGATCACCGGTACTGGGATGTATGAGGCTTTTCCAGACTGGCTGTCACTGAGGCAAGGTCCTGTTCCGGGCCATGCATCAGTATTTCTTGACTTCAAACACAAGGACGGATCTGACGTTGACCTTTGCCCCCGAACACTTCTCCGAAATACTCTCGCATCAGCAGAGATACACGGTTTATCGTTTCTGCTTGGCTTTGAGCTCGAGTTTGTGATCCTTGGGACCTGCGGAGAGGATCAGCCACATGCTTTGCGCAACGTCGCTCACGGATGGTCTTTGGCTAGAGCAATCGCCGACTGTGGCCGAGACGGAAGCTTCAACAGCAAAATTGATGAGCTACTCGACAACCTGCAAGCTTCAGGCGTTGAGATCGAGCAGCTTCACACCGAAACGGGCCCGGGACAGTACGAAATCGTCCTGCCGCCACTGCCGCCTCTAGAAGCGTGTGATACCCTGCTTCGGACCCGTCACATTGTCGAAGCCGTGGCCATGCGGAACGGGTTCCACGTGACACTGCATCCAAAGCCCTTTGCTGGAGGTAGTGGCTCTGCCTCGCATGTACACATATCGATCTGCTCCCCTGGCGGGAATGCGCCCAAGGTCTACGAAAGCTTCTACGCAGGTATCCTTACAAACTATCCAGCTCTTATTGCTTTGGCCTATCCCAATCCTGCGAGCTACGAGCGTATGGTAGATAGCTTTTGGGCTGGTGGCTGTTGGATAACGTGGGGTACACAGAACAAGGAGGCACCACTGCGAAAGTGTGTAGACAGTCACTGGGAGATGAAGACTCTGGATGGTCTGGCGAACCCCTACATTGCTGTAGCAGGCATACTTGCAGCCGGGACAGATGGCTTGGTCAAGGGGGAGCCCTTGATGTGGCTCGACTGTGCCGTCGATCCAGCGAAACTTACGGATGAGCAGCGACAAGATCTTGGTGTGAAGATGAGGTTTCCCAAGAACTTAGGGGAGGCTCTTGATGCTCTCAAAAGCAATGAGGTGCTGAAGGAGTCCTTGGGACGCGAGGTCGTACAGAGATATACGGACGTTAAAAATGGCGAGATGCACATGATGGATTCAATGACTGAGGAAGCGCGCCGAAAATGGATCATTGAGAGATATTGAAATGTCAGCTTCTAAGGAAAGCTATCCTTCTGCAGTCAGACCTTCTTTTTCTTCTTCCTCTTAGCAGCAGACTGTTAAGCTCGTGTCAAGGAGTCTTGTGCAACGAGTGAAGGGATCAACTGTTGGTCTCTTGGGGGTCTCTAGGAAGATAGAATAATCGATGCCCTTCTCCAAATCTTGGTCCGTTGACCTTTCTTATAACTATTCCCTCACTGCGCTTGGTCCTCTCTTCTTGATTCCTACGATCAAACAACAGGCGATCCCCTGTCGGTCTCATACCTCCCTCAGGTCCTGACAGCTCGCATGTCAACAGATATGACCCACATGGTCTAATCCACCATCAGCCCGTGAGCCAAGCCCTGCCATGTAGGCGTAATATACTGGCAATGGACCTGTGAAAGTGGTGTTCCCACTGAGGGATTCCCTGAAGCAGAACCTCGGTATAAGAATCACGAGGGCGCACAGGATATCAAACTCTTAAATTCATAGTAAAGGTATGCTGTCGGGACTGGGCTTGCAATGGCGCCTGCGCCAAGCGCAGTATTGACCAGCCAGTACACTTCTCAAATTCACCACGGCCGCTATTAACCCCTTACCTCAGCCTTCATGCTGTATACCTCGCTAGCGATGCGGGGGACATATTCTGCCGACTCGTCCTGTTCAATATCGAGCATCTCCCTGACCCACTCGGCTATAGTGCCGACCGTCTTATCGACGTCGGCCTTGGTGTTGTGGGCATGGAAAACCATGCGAACGCGGCTTTTGCCCTTTGGGACGACCGGATATGCGAAGCTGTAGGCATTCATGTTTTCTGACATCATGTGGAAGAACAGGTACTGCTCGTGGCGCGGCTTTGTCCAGATGGGTACGATATGTGTATGACAGACGCGCTGCTCCCAGCCTTCCGAGAGGGGACATGAAAGGAGGCCCGCAGCTTTAGCTCGTTGCCACTCCATATTGTTGGTTAGCTTCTCGAAAAAATAGGTCACGATGTCTTGGATGCTCTGCTGCTCCTGTCTCGTGAAAATATTGTCAGTGGATGATGCGTGATTTCCAGAGGCGAGAGTGGTGAGAATTGAGGTAGACATCTGTCATACATACAGTGATCGTCGCTCCGGTAGAGAGCAGTTCGATGCCGGCCTTGATGGAGGCGACCATGGGGAACGATGGGGCGCCACTGTAAACGGCAAACCGCATCTGATTCATGATCACGGCACGGATGGTCTTGTTGCACAAGATCAAACCTACAGGCCACAGATGGTCAGTACGAAAGCAGTCACCCATGCGATCGGGAAGGCAGGGGTGGGGGAGGGAGGCAGCTGAATACTTACCCCCAGTCGAGGCCATAGCTTTGCTACACATATGAACCCGGATTGCAATTTCCTTCTCCAAGCCGAGCATTGAGACTAGTCCCCGACCTTTAGGTCCAAGGACGCCGACGCAGTGTGCCTCGTCTATGACAAACTGTGCATTGCCGAGAGGGAAAATCTCTTTCGCTGCCTGAACGAACTCCTTCAGAGGGCAAACATCTCCATTCATACTGTAGATAGATTCCACAAGAATGAGGATTGACTTGGTACCAGCTTTGAACTCTGGGTGTTCGTCACGGAGCATTTTCAAAGTCGTACGCAGCGAGAGCACGTCGTTGTGGGCGAAGGAGACCTTGTGAGATGCCCGGCTGAGCTTCATGCCCTCGTGGGTCGAGGCGTGGACCAGTTCATCGTAGAGGTAACAGTCACCAGGCAGTGCAACGGCGCCGATGATGCCAACGTTACACAAGAAGCCTGAGTGGCCGATGAAGGCAGTCTCGGAGCCAAAGAACTCGGCAACCTGCTTCTCGACCTCGATCAAGTAGCTGTAGTTTCCGTACTGGAGGCGAGAGCCTGCAGCACTCAGGTCCCAGTCTTCGCCATGCTTGGCCATTTCTTTGAGGTAGGCGTCTCGAATCCGGCCGGTACGGTTCAGTGAGAGGAAGTCGCTAGACGCCCAATCAATAACAGTGTCATCCCAGCGAGGTTTTGCTGTAGAGAGTCTGAAGTCAACTCGGAGGGTATCGAGATGCTTCTCGATGTTGCGATAAAAGGCAGGCTCATCCTTCATGTATGGAGCCTGAAGGACATGATCCTTCAGCCAGTCGTTGAGCATCTCTTGGTAGTACATGATGAGATAATTGATGGGAAATGAATGGATTCAGATGAGATACGGTGTTGGTTTGGCGCGAGATGTTGGGGCAACACGGAGAGCGAGTGGTATGAAGCTGTAGACATGAGATTGGAGCACAGTCCCAATAGACGATTTTATAATACTTGTAATGCCATCCTTAAGCCTAGAATGGAAGACAGAAATTCTTGGTCACTGTGTTGCCCCAAGTCACGGCCCGTGAACATGCTTTCTTGAGCACATATGCAGCCACTACGAGTACTTCCGTGCCGACGCGTATTATGCCAATGACTCTTGCAGTCAAGGTAATCTCCTGCGCTCTACGTGTTTGTAATGCATATGCCGGAGGATCTCCGTCCCGCAGAGCGCAACGCCAGAAAACAAGAAAACTAGCTGCCCAATTCCGTATCCGGCGAAGTTCCCCTGAATCACGACATCGGCCAAAGCTGAGACAACCTTGGTGATCAATCTTAAACCTATACATGATAGTCACACCACATACTACATGCTGGTGGCCATGGATACGGGACGGAGTAAATGCGAAGCCGACCAACGTTGTTACGTGAACTTCCAGACTTCCATACGTCCATCGCAGACAAATGGATCATGTAATGTTCAATATTGACTACACTAAGGTACGTATGGAGAGAATTTATTCGGAGCACTGCCATACGTCACTCAAGACGGTGCCGCGACAGCTCTAAGGCCTGCTGTAGCATTTAGAAAACCGAGTCATAGTCCCATTTCTAGGCTTAAACGTAGAGCCCATCTCAACATCTCTAGGAATACTACAAGTTCAAGTGAGGGGGAAAGTATCACGAGGGAGGAGATGTGGCGATATGTGCTGGTCTTGTGGTATGTTTAAGATAAAAGGGCAGCTTTGAAAATGAAAAGCATGTCTGCTCATCAGAATGTAGACGCGAAATTGCCTAGCCGTCCCCCGTCGGTCATAATTATAGACCCATTACAGTAGGCGCCAGCTCTTGAAGCAAGATATAGCACCGCTCCGGCCATATCCTCTTCATTTCCCAACCTCTCAAGTGGAACCATGTCCCTTCCAACCCCTCCTCGGTCTATGATGGGGCCGGACATCTCGCTCGGGTATACTTGGAGATTCAAAGTGAGCTACAATGTTGAAGGAGGAGGAAAGTTCGATGTACTGACGTCCTGGGCATATCATGTTTGCTCGTATCTCCCACCTTGGCAGTGCGACAGCTAGATTCTTCATCAGATGCGTACATGCCGCCTTGGACTGACTGTAAGCGAACCCGGCCGTGTTTACCTGTTGCGTTCTTGTCATTATCCGTGTGCTTCCATGAGACTAGTCTCGTGATAACCCACCTTGTTGAAAGCGGCGATGGACGTGATGGCCACTACCTGAGACTTCTGCCTCACGTTTCCCTTTCTGTTGCCGGCGTCTAGGAGTTTCAGGAAGGCCATGGTAGTGTACCAGGTCGCAACAACATTCGCCTCGAAGGTTCGAGTATAATCTTCAATTGGCACGTCCATGTTGACACATGAGAAATCTTCGACCGATATCTGGTCCTTAGAAGATGATCGATGCGTCTGCGGACCACTGATACCGGCGTTGCAGATGAGCAGATTGATGTATCCTCTATCCGCTGAGATCACATTTGCGGCGGATGTGAGGCTTGCCTTGGATGTGACATCGCAAATAACCGGCTTCACAGCCTCAACGCTTGTACTCTGAGCGGCCTGCCTCAGAACATCGCCGCGCCTTCCCAATATATAAACAGTGGCCCCATTGGCAACCAGTGCTTTGGTCATAAGAAGACCTAGGCCTAAGCAGGAGGTTCAGCACGTCAACTCTGGCTCGATTCTGTTGTCCCCGAACATACCTGTACCGCCACCTGTCACGACTGCGATGAGTCCTGTTACGCTGAAGAGGTTTCCAGCTCGTAATGTTGCAGCGCTTTCCATGCTGTTTGAGGTCATTGGGGGCTGTAGGAATGATGAAGATTCAGCTTGTACAGGCGTGAGATCTCTTTCTTCGAGCTGTGTTCCATCTGTTCATCAACCACATATGCCTGGCATACCGAGAACAAAACCATAGATGACAAAACATTCTTACGCAGTTTGTTTGTCTTCTTCGATTCTCCAATCTGCCTAAATGAAACGCCGACGTTGCGCGATGTCAGCAGCCTGCCACTCGTACAGGCTCCATCGATTCAAACATGGAGCATCATTTTGCACACTGGAGTCCCGGAATCACCCATGTATGTTGAAATCCTCATAGTTTGGTTCCTAATTTTACGTGGGCGGAACACAGCACCGTCTTACTGATCGGAAAAGCCGATACACAGCGGCCGGCTGCCGAAAGACTCTCGGGTCATCGTGTAGCTGTGATCTGCATATATCCGGGACATTCCTCGGTGAGACATGGTAGAACCAGTATCGTTTTAGCGGTCGGGGAGATGGATGGGATGCTTGCATGGTCACTGTGCTTGGCTTGCTGCAAGTGCTGTCAATTCTCGACGAGAAGCGACATGTGTGACTCCGGCGGCGCGCGTATGCAGTACGAGCTCCGCCGGAGTGGGCTATTTACTCCTCACTGATTCTAGTATTGCAGCGACTAAGGTGAAGCACGGATGTAGTATCATGCTTGCCTCGCACTCTCACTTCTTGATGAGGGAATCCGCACATAGCGGGTGACTGGATGAGAGGTATCCGACACGGACATTCCAACGTATCTTGGTTCGCTGCATCAGTCGAACAATGCAGGCAACCGGCGGTCAGAAGCACCACTGCTGCAATGGTGTCTTTCTGTGTGCCTGGTGTAACAAAGAGAAGCGATTGCATCGATATGCTGCTCTGTGTTACAGCCTGATTCCTACACTCCCACGACCTGCCGACATCACGACGGGGACGATTATGGTGATTCAAATTACAGATAACAACTCGATCACTAATCTTCAAGCTCGTCAATAGCGGATGCTAGTAGGTCTTGTCTTGGAAAATTGCCGTTTTCAATGCTACTGGCGTGGTGAGAAGACCATCCAAAATTGACTTACCATGTTCGCCACGATCACTGTCCATGCCGAGCAAAGTCGCTCCGCCGCAGCCTTGACAAAAGCGAAGCTACGTTATGTTGCCGAAGGACATACTCCACAACCAAGCCCTCACAACTTCCATCTTCCTGACATCACGGAGTTCGGCGACACTCACTTCCTGCCTCTTCACTCCGTCCGACCTGTCGCTGCTCTTGACGAGCTGACCACAAGCTCTAGCCATGTTTCGCTGAGGGATCACGGCTTCACAGCGATTCAGCGTCCAACAGCCCTGCACGCACCTCCGCACTGCCCTAATTCATTCAAAAACCCCGAACTGCTCAAGCAGCACGTCATTCCCGACACCGAGTTGGCTCTCAAGCAATTAACTGGGTGCACAACCGTCGTTACGGAGGCTCTTCTCCTACGCTGTGCGCTCTGGTCTGCCACTGACTCTCTTGCGACTCATGGGAGCGCAGGCGACAATACTTCTGAGCTGAAGACCGGATTTCCCCAATTCATCGGATTCGACCCCATCTCTGGAGGTGGTAGTCCCGCGTCTAAGATCCACTTGGATTACTCGCCCGACGGGGCCCGGATGCACATCCGGAGGTTTCATTCCAAGACCGCCGAGGCTGCTGCCGAGATCATCCGTTTCGAGGATTCCCTGGTGGCTGCTGGCAATGACCTGAGCGATAGCTACAAACATAGCGGCGGTCCCCGATGGGCGCTTTACTCGACATGGAGGCCACTTAAGACAGTCCGCCGGGATCCGCTGGCAGTTTTGGACTATACGACTTTCAGGGAAGACGACTACGTCCCGGCCGCCGTGCCCACACCTTCCCTGGGCCGCGAGGGTGTCTGCGAGACGCACTCGGCGGAGTGCTATCTGGCCAGGTACTCTCAGCAGCACAAATGGTACTGGATCGACAACCAGACGCCCGAGGAGTGTCTCGTTCTGAGATTTTTTGACAGTGATGAGGAGCGAGCTGGCAGCATTGCTGCCGGCGGCGTCCTACACTCGAGCGCTGAGTTAGAAGACAATGACGACGCAGAGCCCCGCGAATCATTAGAAATACGTAGCTTGTGCATTTGGTGAAGGCTCAAAAGGCAGTTATATCCCATTGTCACGCGATGTAGCCAGCTGGTTGGGTTGTCAAATATCTCTAGGCAAGGCTTGACGGTCATTGTGGAAACTCTCTCCTTCTTCTTGCTATATCCACCTAATAATTCAGCCCACTCTGTGAAACTTCATGTGAATTGACACGACTAAGCCAGAGTTTAAAGCGCCACGTGAGGAGACTGTGCTCTCTCGTGTGCATGTAACGTCCCGCCATGCCTGCCTCGAACCATCTCATCTGTATACATAAATCCAGCACTAACTATGTGCTACTCTGAACTCGGTATTGCGTGAAACGCAATCGACCATGCATTCTGTAACTGGCCGTCACGTTCCAGCACATTGTCTCAGTGGAAGCCGGCGAGACTTCATTGATTCTAGGTACTGAAGAACGGCAGGTACCACGGAGTTCAGATACATATACGCTTCCCAGGAAGCAGGCGAGAACAGTGCAGTTAATCATCGGATCTTTGCCAACGTCCATACCTGCCGTATCACCATGGAGGACGAATTCACAGAAGTCCCCGTTCTGGACTATTCTCTTTCACAGCACCCAGCCGGAAAGGCGGAATTCCTCTCACAGCTGCGAAACGCCATTGTGAATGTGGGATTCTTCTACCTCAGCAATCATTCGATTCCCGAAGAGGTGCAACAAGCCGTGCTCGAGCAGACAAATGCCTTCTTCAGTCTTCCCCTGCAAAAGAAACTGGATATTGATATGGCGCACAGCAAGCATTTCCTTGGGTATAACAGAATGAATTCTGAGAAGACTGTGGCTATTACAGGCCAGAACGAATCTGTATTTGTGAGTCTTATCCGCTCCTCGCTAATTTGGAGGATCTTTTTTAACTCGAGTTGCGGCCGAAGTTTGGGCCCGAATATCCTCCTCCGAACCCAGCTGAGTTGGCGTATCTCAACCTCCACGGCCCTAACCAGGTGAGCATGCTCGCTCCAAGGCCTTTCTATGTGCCCACTGCAGGTGCTGACTGCTTTGTCGTCGGAGTGGCCAGATCAAAATGCCGTACCGGACTTTCGCCAGGCCGTTGAAACGTACCGCTCTGCCGTCCAAGACCTGGCCACATCCTTCATCTCGTTAACATCTGAGGCCCTCGGCCTGGAGACCAACTCTTTCAGCTGGCTGTTCAAAGACGCGCCGTTCAGTCGCCTGAATCTACGGATGTACCCTGCCCCTCTGGAGGAGTCAAATGGGGGTGCTCGCCATGGAATTGCTCCGCACAAGGACAGTTCATTCATGACATATCTGCTCCAAGGAGGCGATCACAACTGCCTCGAAGTGCAGAGCAAGACTGGCAACTGGATCGCCGTGCCTCCGATCCCAGGAACTCTCGTAGTGAACATTGGCCGCCTACTGGAGATTCTTACACGCGGAGTGTGTATCGCGACGACGCATCGTGTGGTACTTGGCTCGACTGGATTTCTTGATAAGCATGGGAACCGCTTAGGCTCACGACTCTCGATTCCTTTCTTTCAAAACGTCAACCTCCGTCTGATGCCGGATGACTTTGCGGTGGATGTTCCGCCACACGTCGCAGACCTGTCTAGGGGCGAGAGGACAGTTGCTGACTCTGGAACATTCTTTTGTGGGATATTTGACGACTCTGCCGGTGATACTGTGTTTGTCAGTATGCTCACGAGCTTCGCAGAGACTGCGAAGGTGTGGTATCCGGACCTGCTTCCACTGGCCTTGAAGAAGCAGGCTGAGAAGAAGCGGTTGGATCTTGCGAGGGGGGCCAAGATTGAGTAGTGCAGCGGCAGAGAACATGTTGTCCCTCAAATGATGACACTATTAATCTCCAAAAGAACGAAGGTGATATAAGATGTGAGATCCAGTCTCTCCATAGCCGGAGCGTGGCGGTCGACGCCTGGCTTCCAGAGCACTACAAGCGGGACTTTGGGGTGGCGGTAGCAACTTTTTAGAGTTGTGAATACATTATCCGCGACTGTGTTATGAGACTGTGTTATGAAGGATTCTCCAGCGCCATCAGCACTTGCTCCATGTCATCGGGAATGCTGAAACCTCCATGGTTCACCCAGCTCTGCCCCAGGCTCGCAGCAGCGAGGCACCGATGCTGATTTGGGGCCTGGCGAGATGCATCCCTGAAAATCTTGCAATCCGAGCGACCAGGATGCGAAACGAGGCAACCAAATATTAGGCAGCAGCCGCTGGAAAATACGGTGGTCAAAATTATGCAAGGCGCAGCTTTCCGTTCTGGGCAGGTGATGGCTTGATCAAGGATACCAAGAGCAGGCAATTCATTGGCCAGACGTCTCTGTCGCGCAAGTGGTTATAGTAGCATGCCGTACTATAAACCTAGTTCGACGCGTCTCGCCGCGTATAACGCCGCCGTTATGAGCACCAACATCGATCCTTCGAGACATCACAGGATCATATTCATTTACTATGGAAAAGAATCTTCAGCTTCAAATGACTCATCGTTCCCATAATCTTTGACGTCAAGCCACAATTATAAGTATCTACAGAATCATTTGGTCACCTCAACCGCTGATAATACACCGAGACTAAGGCCACTGTATAAGGACCTGAAAGATCATGGCTCCCACCCGGCCCCAGTCATGTGCCCATAAGCGACTTTACACGGGTGTCTCTCCGCATGCGACTGAAGCTGGTTATGTTTACCCCAGCATTGAAGAGCGGCTGAGTCAGGCGAGCCATTCTGGGAAACCCTCCAACTATACTGCCCCTGAGGACATTCCCAGCCCTTTAACGTTTCCCGCGCCGCTTGTGTTGCCAGGAGACGATATTGCCGAGGACCCCAAACAAGATCCAGACG